TTTGAAGAAGCATCACAGAGTTCCGAATGGGTTAAAGCTATGGGAGAAGAAATCACTGCGCTAGAGCAAAATCAGACTTGGGATCTGGTGCCAAAGCCAAGAGATGTGAAACCCATATCCTGCAAATGGGTGTATAAGATAAAGCGTCGTCCTGATGGGTCGGTCGAGAGGTACAAGGCTCGGTTGGTGGCTCGAGGTTTCTCTCAGCAATACGGACTAGATTATGATGAAACGTTTAGTCCAGTGGCAAAGCTTGTGACCGTACGAGTCCTACTTGCACTTGCGGCCAACAAAGATTGGAACTTGTACCAGATGGATGTGAAGAATGCGTTTTTGCATGGGGAGTTAGATCGGGAAATCTACATGACTCAACCAATGGGATTTGAGAACGAAGTCCATCCCGAGTATGTGTGCAAGCTGAAAAAGGCACTTTACGGATTGAAGCAAGCACCAAGAGCATGGTACGGTAAGATTGCAGAATTTCTCTCTCGAAGTGGTTATTCAGTGACCCATGCAGATCCTAGTTTATTTGTCAAAGCTAATGGAGGAAAATTAGCTATTGTGCTGGTATACGTGGATGATCTAATCATCACTGGTGATGATGAGGAAGAAATTCACCGGACGAAGGAGAATTTGTCAGTTCGTTTTCAGATGAAAGAACTGGGACAACTCAAGCACTTTCTTGGGCTAGAGGTTGATCGCACACAAGAAGGGATATTTCTGTGCCAACAGAAATATGCAAAAGATTTGTTGCAAAAGTTTGGGATGCTTGAATGCAAGCCAATCTCAACGCCAATGGAGCCCAATGTCAAGCTGTGCGCATATGAAGGCAAAGACTTGGAAGACACAACGATGTATCGACAATTGGTGGGTAGTCTAATCTACTTGACATTGACTCGGCCTGACATTTCGTATGCAGTTGGTGTGATGAGTCGATACATGCAAAATCCAAAGAAGTCTCATTTGGACGCAGTACGACGAATACTGAGGTATGTGAAAAGTACAATTGACTATGGTCTGTTGTACAAGAAAGGTGAAGATTGCAAGCTAATTGGTTATTGCGACGCTGATTATGCTGGAGATCATGATACTCGTCGATCAACTACCGGGTACGTGTTTAAGCTCGGTTCAGGAACAATTTCTTGGTGCAGTAAGAGACAGCCGACAGTATCTTTGTCAACCACTGAAGCTGAGTACAGAGCAGCAGCAATGGCAGCTCAAGAGATCACGTGGCTAACACAGCTAATGAATGATCTACATCAATTGGTAGATTATTCAGTGCCGTTATACTGTGATAATCAATCAGCAGTTCGTTTGGCGGAAAATCCAGTCTTTCATGCAAGAACCAAACATGTGGAGATACACTACCATTTTATTAGAGAGAAGGTTCTGCAAGAAGAGATTGAGATGAGACATATCAATACAGATGATCAAGTTGCGGACTTATTCACAAAAGGTTTGAACACAGGAAAGTTCGAAAATTTTCGACGACAGCTGAATGTGGTGCAAAGAATGTGAGCTGGTGTTGAGGGGGAGTGTTAAAATCAACACCAGCCCAATGACAGAACTCAGCCCAAGGAATTAAAGCCTAGAGAAGGAAGTCATCACTTGTACTAGACAATTATAGAAAAATCTGGAAAAGTGAAGGAAGTTCCACCGACCTAGTAACTAGTATTGTAATAGATTAATGTAGTTGATTCTAGAAAGTTACATAGGCTATGTCGGCTAGGAATGGAGAATAGTCTAGAAAGTAAAAGAATTATGTAGCAAAGGCAGTGGAATGGAGAGCTATGTCGGCTAGAACAACTATAAATAGGCATAAAGCCATGCTTTGTAAGAATCAAGAAGTAAAGTGTGTGTCAACTAGAAGAGTGAGCTATAGAGCTAAGGAGTCATTGTGAGAAGTGTGAGTGAAGTGAGAAAGAGTGTTTGTAAGAGTTAGTCTTTCCTTTGAGAGTTGTTTGTTGTAATATTTTGTGAGTCTAATACAAGTAAATTGTTTACTTGTTTTGTCTCCAACAAGTCTATCTTAGAGTTGTGTACTCTAAAATTTGCTCAACAGAGAGTTGGGAGAGAGAAAGAAAAGGAGAGTTAGTGAGAAAATAGAGATATGAGAGAGAAGAATGGGGGTTTAAGTTGCAAAGGGAACACAGATGGAGCAGATGTGAAAAAAAATATTTTGAGTGAGATAGAAGAAAGGGGATTTTAGTTGCAGGGAAGAGAGGTAGTGATGAAAGGAAGACTCGGTTAGAAGAGAGAGAGAGAGAGAGAGAGTCGATGAGAAAAGAGAGAAATAGAGGGAGAGATGAGAGAGAAGAAGAGGACTTTGAGTTGCAGAGGTGAACAAGGACGATGGAGCAGGGGTTAAAAAGACAATTTAGAAGTGAAAAGTGTTTGACAGCTGTCAGGAGTTAATTGCCCGGGGATACTGACGTGGATGCTGACTTTGATATTCCCGTGCTAGGAAAATTTTTCTCCATTTGGGCGGAGGTTTCAATCAGCAACTCCCCTCGTTTCCATCGACAAACTCAACTCTTGATATCTTCCCTCGGACCTTCCCACCTTCTTCTTCTCATTGCCCACACTCTTTTTCTCTCCCTTTCTGCTTTCTCGCTCCACAGCTCTTGGGGTCCAAAAACACTTTCCTTCTTCTTCATTCATTCATTCAGATCCTGTTCTGAGACAATTGAGAAAGGTATTTCCAAGTCCCAGTATCAAAAGTTTTAATCTTTGAATCGTTTTAGAATGGCAGCAACATCCCATTTCTTTTGGGTTGTGATTTTTTGGCTGATACACTCTACTGTGTTTTTTGTTCGAAATGGTTTTACCATTTCCAACTAATTTTACTTTTCTTTTGTTATTCTTCTGCAATGGTAGTGGTGCTAATGTTGGTTTTTGTTTCTTTGGTGTAACTGGGTTTACTTACTTAGGTCTCTTTGTTTTCAAAATGGATGCCACAATGCCCATTTGCAAGGTTGTTACTCCAACTCCTGTAAGTACCTCTGTCACCCTGTATTTATTGTATTTTTGAATTGAGTCTTGGGTTGTGTTCTGATTAGTTGGAATTGGGTTGTGTTAGTTTAATTTCTTAGGTACTGAATTGGGTTGCTTTTTATTTTTGTATGGACCGAAGGATGTGTGGCTTGGTAGATAATTACCTTTTATATCTTCAGTTTTGTAGAAAAGCTCAAAACTCTAATGCTTTATTCAATGCAGCCAAACAGATGATAAGTGAAAGATCCTAACTGATTACGGAAAAGTAAAATATTGGAATTCCTAGATAAATAGCATTTACAAAACCAATGAGGTCTGCTTGTTATATTGTCTTCAGAATCCTCCATTCAATTATGATCTCCACTCCAGACCTGTTTTGACGTTTATTTATTCTTTCACATTTGTTCTTGTTTTTCTTATGTCAATGGAAGGGCTTATTTTTTGGGAGAACTAGAGAGATCCGGAGTTCCCAATGTAGCTTTATGGTGGGAAATAAAGTCAACTTTTTAAGGCAGAGAGCTCAGGGTGCTCAAGTTACTTTCAAATCCAGGAAGCATGGGGGAGCTCTCCATGCTACATGTCGTGCTGAAAAAATTCTGGTGGCAAATAGAGGAGAAATTGCTGTTCGCGTTATTCGAACTGCCCATGAAATGGGAATACCTTGTGTGGCTGTTTACTCAACAATAGACAAGGACGCACTTCATGTGAAATTGGCTGATGAATCAGTTTGTATTGGTGAAGCAGCAAGCAGTCAGTCGTAAGTGGTTGATTAGTTAATTTTTTGTTTTGTTGTTCTTTCACCTTAAACCCCTATCCCCTTATTATTTTGTTGGTTAAATGGAAAACTGGAATAGTTTAACATGGAGCTCATGTGGAGAAAGAGAAAGAGAGAGAGAGAGAGAAGGCCATTTAAACCATCACAAAGGACTACTTTTCTTTCTGCATACCATTAAAGTTCATGATTTAGGAAACCTAAAGGAACCGTGATATATTTATTCATGTCATGCCTTAACTGGATTTGTGCAGTGCCTGTGATTGTTTTTTTTCTTCTTGCTTGGTTACAATTTATTATAAAGTTAATCTTAATTACTAAGATGTAGCTAGTAAGATTACCATGAATTGTTTTCTCTCTTCCGAAAAGAATTAAGGATGAAAGTAAAATACAGAAGAACATCATTAATAGATAATCATTTTTTCATAAAGACATTTGAAATAAAGAAAGTGAAAACAAAGACTATAGTAATAATAAGCCAATGGTTTTAAATGGCTCATACCTGGCATTGGTCCTTTTCGTGCTCATGCCAGATATGTCGACCTGGACCGACGTGAATGTGAATGTCCATGCATGCTTGGAATGGCACGACATTGGATATTGCCCCTTTCATGACCACTTTAATCTTGCCATTCTCATGCCAGCCTGCTTTGCACCATTATCTGTGCACTACATTCTTTATCTTTGTATCACGATAAGTTTGTTTTTTTTTTTCCTTTGTCTCAGTTTCTGTTACAGATGACAATGGTTGAATTGTGCATTTTGATCTGTCTTTCTACAGGTACTTAGTTGTTCCAAATGTTTTATCTGCTGCTATCAGTCGGAAATGTACAATGCTGCATCCGGGATATGGTTTCCTTGCTGAGAATGCATCATTTGTTGAAATGTGCAGAGAGCACGGAATCAACTTTATTGGGCCTAAGGTAAGTACTTGAAATAAAAAAAACTTCAAGCTAGGAAGGTTTTGACTTTTTTCTCTTCATTCAAATTTTAGATGTAACCCTGATAACTTACATAGAGTCTTTCAAAATTTCATGTAAATTCGGAATGACGTATTATCTAGCAATTTAGTGATTAGTAATGAATAAAATGTTCAACTCAGAAGATATTTATTGTTCTTTTCCTAGCCTAAAACAATTTTTTATTTTTTATTTCTTGAGATGTGCTTTATTTGCCTTTGTCTCTCTCTAAATATTCTTTTTCTTACAGTGAATAGTGATTGATAAGTTTAGTTCATGGAGATATAAGCACATGACTCTTTAGTTACTCATCAGTTATTTGATGTACTGATGTGGGACAAATTGTTTGCTATTTGGGTTACAGCCCGACAGCATCCGTGTTATGGGTGATAAAGCGACTGCCAGAGACACAATGAAGAAAGCAGGTGTTCCAACTGTACCAGGAAGTGATGGATTACTACAGGTCTCTACTTTACCCTCAGTTATTATACATTTCAACACCTCCAGGTCTAGGTGGTTATATGAATTGGTTTGTGTTAATTGTTGTCAACTTTTTTTATTTTTTTTATTTTTTATTTTTCTGTCAACAGAACACAGAGGAAGGAATCAGGCTTGCAGATGAGATTGGTTTTCCTGTTATGATCAAGGTAAAGTGCCATGTATTAATATATCTCATGATAATTAAAATTCATTGCACCTTGATGTGCCTTAGAATTTGCAGTGCATACCCTCTCATTTCAACTCTGAAAATTTAAAAACAGAAGTTAGACGTACTTCTAATGTAAAAAATTGAATTTGTTTAATCAATAAAACCTATTGATTTATAGACATTTATTGACTATCAATTTTACAATGAGGTTAATTTAGAGGAATACATGCCTATTTATGTGGGATAGCCGCTCGAGATTTGTAACTGTTTGACTAGGAAAGACAGAAGCCTACCCAGTTACCTGGCTATAGTGCTAGACTAGGGCAATTTACTAACTCAATGAAGCTGGAAGATATTTTTTATGGGTTTTAAATTTTGAGTTTGAATAATGCATGGAGTTGCTAAGAAAGACTTCAGTTGGCGGCTTAATTCTTAGTACCTGTAGAGAATTCGAACTGTTACCTCTGATCTCTGGATAAGGTCACTTCATTGTTTTCCAGAAAAAATCTAAACGAACTTATTTCCCACTATTGTATTTATCTACTTTAATGAATCGAACTTGAACTTTTTAAGTCTTCGATGAACTATACTTATGAGATGAATGGTTATTTTAGGATTCTGGCCTTTCATTGATATTTTCCTTCTAACTCTGTGTTAACAGAGCTGATATAGTATTTTATCTGTTATATGATTTGTTTCCATGAAGTGATAAGCATATTTTTTATTTAAGGCAACGGCAGGAGGTGGAGGACGTGGCATGCGTCTTGCTAAAGAACCTGAAGAGTTTGTGAAGTTGTTACAGGTACTACACCTAATAATGCATTATCTTCCTATTTTGTTGCTTTGATGCCTTCATTTTTTGTTTGTCTTCTGTGAAAGTATTTCGTAAATCATCTTTGGAGTTATATTTTTAAGTTTTATGTTAAATAAGTTTAAGACTACAACTTTGAACTGTTGTGTTCTGAGTTTAGTCGGTCTTGTTATCTACAAATGAATGTTATATATTTGTATTACATTGTTGCTTCCATTATCTTAATTTTCTGCCTCACTTTAATTGTTTGCAGCAAGCAAAGAGTGAGGCTGCAGCTGCTTTTGGAAATGATGGAGTTTATTTGGAAAAGTACATCCAAAATCCTAGACACATTGAATTTCAGGTAATGTGCTTATAAAAGTTCCTGTAAAATTGTTCTAATATTATTCTTTATAATTAGACATTAGTATTCAATTTGACGTTTGATGCCTGCCTGCAACCCCTTGATTCATCTATTGTATACAGGTTCTTGCAGATAAATATGGTAATGTTGTTCACTTTGGAGAGCGGGATTGCAGTATCCAGGTACTTTAGTGGCCTTATTGCTTGCATGAATCTCTGTTAAGTTATTTTCTTCTAGTTATAACTTCTTAAACATCTTAGGTCTGATTTCTTTAAGGCAAGCAAAAGTGGTCATAACCTTACCATATAACTGACTCTTTGTAACATTAGGATGTATCATCCATTTATCCTCTATTTTTTCCTTGAAATGCAAAACCCAATGACTCCTGCCATATTGATTTTTCATGTGTTGAATTCGACCATCTCAGAGAAGGAACCAAAAGCTGCTGGAAGAAGCACCCTCCCCTGCATTGACCCCGGAGTTGCGTAAAGCTATGGGTGATGCAGCAGTTGCTGCAGCAGCATCAATTGGTTACATTGGTGTTGGAACTGTTGAATTCCTTTTGGATGAAAGAGGTTCCTTTTACTTCATGGAAATGAACACTCGTATTCAGGTTAAAATAATCTTTTGAGGATGGCTTTTTTTTGCACAAATTTTTTTGCTTAGTTATGTTAAATTACTTTTTTTCCCAATGGAACCACAGGTTGAGCATCCTGTGACAGAGATGATTTCCTCTGTTGACTTGATTGAAGAACAAATTCGTGTAGCTATGGGAGAAAAACTTCGATACACACAGGTAATTAATTGTAGTAGGGTAGTTTTAGAAACACATATGACGCTTCCTATTCAATGTCTGACGGAGGTGGCTCCATCTACAGGATGAGATAGTGCTCAGAGGACATTCAATTGAATGTCGTATCAATGCAGAAGATGCTTTTAAAGGATTCCGACCTGGGCCAGGTATGTGTACATAGCTATGTTCTGGTTCCCTCGGTTGGTCTTTTCTGTTATCTTGTATTGGTTTTATGGGGTGCAGCCAAACCCTGATGATAGGTTTTGAGTTAGTTCAGCAGTCAAGGTTTCCATGGATTTTATTACGGTCGTTTTCAGTATACGTAATCGTCTGCCTTTTTTACAGGAAGAATAACTGCCTACTTACCATCTGGAGGTCCCTTTGTTAGAATGGATAGTCATGTTTATCCTGATTATGTGGTTCCTCCAAACTATGACTCCCTTCTTGGAAAGGTTTGTGGACCAATAAACCGTTGATAACCATGGTTTCCCATATACATATGTACAGTATAAAATTATAGATTCTAGGTTTCTTGTTCTGATTACCTTGGCAATTTTTCTCTCTTAATGTAGCTTATTGTTTGGGCACCAACAAGAGAAAAGGCTATTGAACGAATGAAGAGGGCTCTTGATGACACTATTATAACAGGTAAGTAATGAATTTAATTGTTGAAGTCCTTCTGTTTTACTTACTATTTGTGTCAGCATATTTGTACTTTGTGTGAGCCAATTGAAAGTGTTGTCAATAGAACAGAGGGGCTAGGCCGTTTAGTGGAGGATGATATTAGAAAGGTCTGTAGGCCCAGGGTTCTTTCTGTTTAGTTGTTCTTTGTTATATTAGTGGGGTTGAGTTGTATTTGTTTCATTTTTTGTTTACAGTTTTGGGTCGGTTCAATTCATATTGTAAATCTACAATTTTTTTCTTTATTCATGGCTGTGAATGTAGTTAGCTAGATAAATATTCTCTCTCTATTCATGGCTGTTAATTTAGTTATTCCCTTTATTCCACAGGGGTTCCCACAACTATTGAATATCATAAACTTATCCTTGATATAGAGGATTTCAAAAATGGCAAGGTTGATACTGCTTTTATTCCAAAGCATGAAGAGGAGCTCGCAGCGGTAAGAAGCTAGTCTAACCCTGAACATAATTTTGATGGTGAGGTTTTGATTTTTCATTTGGGTTATTCTGGTGGTTATGGACAGGCGACTGGGGCTAAGGTGTTTACAATTTTTATTTTTTTTTTGGTGTGAAGTAAGTCAACTAGAAACAGGCTTCAAACTCTAATTAGGTGATTAGGGTTTTAAAGGTATTATCAGTCAAATAACTTTTGATCTTCGTAAGTTATTTAACACTGAGCTCTACATCCAGTATGTAAGTCCTGGAAAGTAATTATCTTTGCTTTTGGCATTTAGGGCCTGTTTGGGAGTGCTTTTGGAACTGCCAAAAGCGCTTCCAAATGGGTAAAAGCACTTCTTTCTTTGAAAATTTCTAAATGCACTCCCAAACGAGCCCTTATTATGTCACCTGACTCATTCTGAATAAATTGTATTTCTTTTTAGTCTATAACTTAGTATGATTAGATGAAGTGGAGATTTTACTTGCCCAATTTATATTTTTAAGAAATAACAAATTTTGTTACTTTTTAGTAATGCCGTATTATTTATGTGCCTACAGCCCCAACATTTGGTGCCTGCAGCCCCTGCCAAAGAACTAGCTGGTGCATCTCCTTAGATGGATGGAGCTCGAGTCGCTACCGTCTGGTCAATTCACCCGCCACATTTAAAAAGCGGCAAATCATTCACTTTTTTGTATTTTAGTTATTTAATTTGTGCTAATGTTGTTACTTCTATAGCACTAGTAACATTGACATGCCTTGCATTTCATGTGAGAATTCCATTTGAAATTTTGATATGTTCTTCTGTTTCAACTGGGTGTACTGTTTACAAACCCGTATTGCTCACTATACAGCCTCTCAAATCCGTGCCGTGAACCAAACGGGACCTTCATGTAGAAATGATTATGAGGTTTTGCAAACTATCTATATTAATTAGAATACGTATATTTTATATCACAAAAAAAAAGGGCAAAAGCCCAGCAAAAACTAAAACAATGTTGTTACTACAGTAGCTAAAACCTTTTCTTCATGTTGTTTCCCACCGCACCGCCTTGCTGCTTTTACTGTTGCTTTTTCTTCCACAAAATATCTTTGCTGTGGCTTTCTCCCTATTGGTTGGTCAGCTAACTGCCCGACTGTATCTCTCTCTCTCTCTCTCTCTCATCTTTTTTGATGTCTTCGTTCGTATTCTTCTACGAAACGTAGTCTTGAAAATACGTTTATTTCATGTTTCTTTCTCTCTTTCCGAGCAAATGCTCTATAAAATATAATACGCATATTTTATTTTAAGCGGTAGGGTTTTGCATACTATCACAAAAAAGAAAATAGAATACGTATATTTTATATGACAAAAAAGTGGAGGGCAAACGCCCAGCAAAAACACTAAGGTCCGTTTGGTTCACGAAACGGATTTGAGGGGAAATTACTTCCCATGTCATTTCCCAAGGGATGGGAAATGGAATATTGATTCCCCACATTTGGTAATGTCGGGAAAGTAACCGGGAGATATCACTTTATTTCATTTCCCATGTTTGTTTTGTATAAGAATGGAAAACAAAGTTTGTATAATTTTCCAATTAAAATTCCAGTAAGTATATAAACATTATTATATTGTCTTATAAGTATATATTATATATATATATTCATTATATTGCTTTAGTACTTTTTTTTTCTTCAACAAAATAGTTATATATTGGTTTTTTCTTTTGTAATGGGGAGGGTCGGGGAACCCATTCCCCAACGAAGGTGGGGATGGGAAATTCCCGATATGAATATTGCGGGTATGAAGGCGGAAATGGGGAAAAAAAGCTTAACGAGAATAGGAATGAGAATGACATACCCACCCCCGATTTGACCCATTGCCAAACCCTACACAAATCATTAACAATCAACTGGGTGTTTGTATTCTTTGTCGGATCATGCATAATTTTGCGAGGACACCCAACCTAACGTATATTATATCATTTTTTTCTTTTGTGCCAAGGTCAAAGCCCATTACAAACAAGCACCTAAACTACTCCGGGTCTCAAGCCCCTACCGAGATCCTCAAAAGTTGAGTGCAAACCCAACTCCAAATGCAGTCCATAGATAGCCAAATTGTCTGCAACACAATTTTGTCTACGAGTTTAATTTTTTATATCATTTCAATGTAAAGAACTTATGTTTATCGAGTGATGTCGGCTTAATGTTTACCCCACCCCTGACCTTAATTAAAGAAAAAGACAGTAAACTTCTATATATAAAAAAAGAGACAATAGTAAACATTTGAGGGAAAAATAGTGAGGGGAATAAGAGGTTGAGAAAGAAATTAGGGAGAATACAAATAATATAAATTTAATTTTTATTAGAACAATAAAGTTTAAAATAAACTCAGACGGAAAGAAAAAACAAGAACACTAGGGTTATTCGCTAAGCATGCAAAAAGGAGCCCAGTCCAAAGCTAATCATCTATTACTAAACAACTTCTCTTTCTGCCAAACTCATCCAAAAGCTAATCTCACACGTCTAGGTTTGAAAGTTTAGGCACGATTGTTATGCAGTTAAGAATGCATGTTCTGATCGTTATAACTATATATTAACTCAAATCGAGTTCAGCTAACTTGGAGATGGTTAATTAATCAGGCTTAACACTATTATTTAAGAGACTGTTCACCAAACAATAATTCCTTCAAATCATCACTCTTTCCTCCTCTTGGTTTTTTTCTCTTCATGTGCTCTGGTTTCTTCCGAGCAAAACCACACATGTCAATGGAGCCGCTGATGCGCTGGATGAAGCGGGGGGTAGAATTTATGGGGAGGCAATGGAACTTGTTTGATATAGCCTCATTGGTTGTGGTTTTATCTTTGCATTTGCTTGCTCTTTTAGCTCCAGTTCATTTCAGCTGGGGTGCATTATGGTTGGCCTGCGCACTCTATGTTGTGACAGCTCTAGGTATAACTCTAGGTTTCCATAGGAGCCTTGCGCACCGGAGTTTTAAGCTTCCTAGATGGCTCGAATACTTTTTTGTCTATTGCGGGGTTCTTACACTACAGGTACGGTGTGTACTTCAAACGAAAATACTAGTAGACTGAATACAACATTTTACTTTACTTTGGACATCAATGCTCTTGTTTTTAATGTGCAGGGAAGTCCAATTGAATGGGTGAGCACACACAGGTACCACCACCAGTTTACTGACACAAAGAAAGACCCTCATAGCCCTCTTATGGGATTCTGGTTTAGCCACATTGGTTGGATATTGAACCATAGCTTTCGGTTTGAAATTGTATAAAACTCTCTCTGTACTCTCTACTCTCTCTCTCTCTCTCTCTCTCTCTCTCTCTCTCTCTCTCAAAAGTAATTAACATGCCAACTTTGCAGTATGAAAGACGACTAAAGAACGTTGACGATTTAAAAAGGCAGCCGTACTATATGTTTCTTCATCGCACCTACCTTCTTCACTCGGCTCTTCTTGGAGTTCTACTATATGTCATAGGAGGACTGCCCTATCTTGTTTGGGGAATGGTAATATTACTCTTACTTTCTTTCTTTCTTCTTCGTTAGCAAGGACGGATATATGCTTTGTTCTTTGTTAGCAAGGGTAGCTAGGGCTGCCAAACCTTTTTGCAAGTTTACATGAATACTTTACAGGCGCACACATACAGACACATATATATATAAAGGTTATATAAATATATACTTTGTTGTTAGAAGAGTGATTCTTTTTTAAGCTTCTTCTATTTGCTCACTTCACTACAAAAAAAAGTGGCAATAGTCACCATTATTTGGTGACTAATGCTGGGGTCGAATGTCACTAAATAATGGTGATTATTGCTTTTTTTTTTTTTTTGTAGTGCTTAGAATTACTTTCTAAGTACAAGATTTAATTTGTGTGGTGTATTTTTCTTCCTTTTGCTTCATAATCAGTTGCTTTTGTTTCACTGCAGGGTGTGAGGACGGTAATTGTTTACCATATTACATTTTCAGTAAATTCAATTGGCCACACATGGGGAAAGCAAGTTTGGCACACCGGTGACTTGTCTAGAAACAACTGGTATTGTAGCTACAATAATGGAATCCGCCCTATATATAAATTGAAAACATTTACAATTTACAAGGGTAAATAGTAAAGGTAATAAATTTTAACTTTATAGGTTGCTGGCATTGCCAACTCTTGGAGAAGGCTGGCACAATAATCACCATGCTTTTGACTACTCAGCTCGGCAAGGTCTAGAATGGTGGCAGATTGATATTACATGGTATTTGATAAGATTTCTTCAAGTGGTTGGTCTGGCAACCGACGTGAAAACACCAACTGAGACTCAGAAGAAACGAAAAGCTTTACACAACGCCAGCAATTTAGAGAAGAATAAGTCAAAAGTTAGCAATGGAAAGTTTTAAAACAACAAAATAGTATTGCACTAGAAATCCAAATTAGGCTATGAACATTTTCCTTATGCCTTTTAAGATAGCTTTGGTTTTATAGGGGAAGAAGCCTCTTTTTTGTTTTTTTTTTGTTTGTTTGAGGAATAAGGAGAGTTTTGGTCTCTCTATGTTTGCCCAACTAGAGTGATCAAACCTACAAACTTAATGTAATTCATTGCCAACACTAAAGGAGCAAAATTATTATACACTATAAGGAAAGTTTTGAGCCCATTCTACCTGATATATATATATATATATATATATATATATATTCACATTTATTAAATTATTACTTTCGAAAACTGGTTTATTCTATTTGTTTATTTGTTTCTGCTTGGGCTTGATTTTGTTGTTGGCCAAAATGTGGCTTTTATTGAATTTATTAGATAATGGGTCTAATGAGGTTTTGGGTTATTTAATAAGTGAAGCCCATTGTTTTCTTGATTCATGAAGTACAACAAAAAAAGGCAGAAAATATAAGTGCATGTTTGGTATTTTATATGAATCGAATTTTTTAAATTTAAAAATAAAATTTGAATTCAAAACTTAAAAAAATGGATCTTAAAACTCCTTATTTTTAAGAAGAATAAAAAATTTTGAATTCCCTTCTTGAATAGGATACCGAACGCCACTTAAGTCTTCATTACAATCAACGCTAGTCATGACCGTTTGGAAATATTTCTAACTTTATGTCACACTTTTGGATTGCCACCTATGTCTTCTTCAGCATGCTGATAAGGACCTTGTTTCTAGTTTCAGCTTTGATCATGGGGTCTTGAGCCCCATGTGCTTGATGTGGGAACATGAATTTTGGCAACCAATAAAAAGGTGACACATGGAAAAAGAAATATTTCTTAGGTCAACTAATTGGGCTAATTAAATCTCATTTAATTAGGCAATTATCCTTTATTTAAGATAGAAATATCTCCCCAAATCAAGGATCTGATTTCCAGCAAATCTCCTTGATTTATCCTATCACCTATTTTTGGGAAAGAATAATTCCAATTAAATATGGAATTATCTCTGCAAACCCTAGCCTACAAGGAGACTCTATAAATAGATGGCTACACTCCACACATGAGGTAACTCTTTCTAACTGAAAAAACCCTAGATGAAGAGAGAAGGATAGACGAATGCACTGACAGGCAGTTCCAGAGGTCCCAAGCAGGTCAAGTAGGAACCAGTAGGCAAGAAGGAAGATAGGAACATGCTGCTCAACACGCAAACATGTCACAAGCATCCGTGAGCCCCAACCAGAGAAAATCGAGTATCCATTCGAGGCTAGGTCCAAGGACCAACGTTCACTCAAGGTTGGGGGCACAGTTCAATGCCCACGCCCGATTGGGCCTAGAAGTGTTCACTCAAGGCTAGGCCCATAAGGAGATCAGTCCCATGGCCCTCTTCATGGAGAATGTGAAGGATGACGCTCATCGGCCTGCACTGGAAAAGCACACTCTAGGCTATGCGCTGTGGAAAATCCTTCACAAGCTCAATCCACTAATATGCCATGCCGGTAAGGCATCCAATGAGGAAGTTGACCAAACGATGCCTACGTCGTGGATGTCCCCGACATGAACCGCAAACATTGTGAGTGGAGGATGTCGAGAAGCTCGTGAATGATCGGCTACGAGACCTAAGAGTCAGAGGATAGTTGGAAGATGACCGACGCAAAGGACATACTGGGCCTTGATCTACCTCATAACCAAGCCCATATCGCCAGCATCCAAATCGCACATGCAATGATCAACTTCGTCCATATAGACGATTGGGGTGCACCAACTTCATGCAACTTTTAGTTGTCCAACAAATAGGCATGAGGACCAAGATAAACAAATCCGCCAGGTCACTGATCGGCTTCAATGGGTCGACCTCAGTCACTGTTGGGACATTAGAGCTCAATGTCTATTCTCCAACGATGATCAGCTCATAGACACTCATGATCATCGACACAATCTCCCCTTACAATGGCATCCTAGGTAGGCCATGGATTGGCAAGATCGAAGTCATCACTTCTTTCATGCATCTGAAGACACGCTACCCAATCCATGGGGGAGGCATTGGGCAGAACAACAATGAACAGGCAATGGCGAGAAGATGCTCGGCCCAAGGGCTAAAGAATAGCAAGGAAGCCCAATTTATTTCTATAAGTCAAGCTAACCAAAAAGAAGCAGAACAGGCAGAGAAGCGAGCCCGGTTCATTTTTGTAAGCCAAGCAAACTTGAAGGGAACATAACATGCAGAGGAAAAGGCGGATTTCATCCCCATAAGTCTAGCAGACCAGTAGCAGAAAAGAAACAGCCACTCCTCAATAGCAATCAAAAAACCAGGATCAATAAGAAAAAGTTTGCCGAGAGACTTCTCCTAAAGAAGGATGGAGGCCTGAAGAGGATGTTGAACTTATTTCACTTGATCCTGACAAGCTAGAAATAAAAGCGCGGATCGGCTCGCGCCTCTGCCCGTACGAAAAAATGGAGCTGACCACATTCCTCCAAAGCAACAAAGACATATTTGCATGGTCACCATTTGACATGCCTGGCATCGATCTGCAGATCATCTGTCATCGGATTCATGTCAACCCAGCCAGCAAACTAGTAGTGTAGAAGAGACGCAACTTCGCTTCCGAGCGAGTTGCTATCATCGAAGCCGAGATTGACAAGCTCCTAGCTGCCGACTTCATTGAAGAATGGTTAGCCAACATTGTTCTGGTGGCAAAGAAAGACCAAGGCAAGTGGAGAGTGTGTGTCGACTACACCGACCTCAACAAGGCATGCCCATAGGACAAATTTCCACGTGACAAGAATTGATCAGCTCGTAGATTCAACTTATGATAATCAACTGCTCAGCTTTGTGGACGCATACTTTAGCTACAATCAAATCATGATGCACGAAGATGACAAAGCAAAGACATCTTTCATAATCGAAAAAGGTACATACTGCTACAAAGTCATGCCCTTTGAGCTGAAAAATAGCATAGCAACCTACCAGAGGCTCGTGAACAAAATTTTCAAGGAGCAGATCGGCAAGACTATGGAGGTCTACGTAGATCAACATCCTGGTCAAAGCTCCCCAACAAACAAATCACTTCAAAAACCTTGCCAAAGCCTTCAGCTTGCACCGAAAATACCACATGAAGTTGAATCCAAGCAAGTGCACATTTGGAGTCTCATCTAGCCGAGTTTTGGGATACTTAGTTACCCAAAGGGGCATTGAGGCTCACCCCAATCAAATCATGGTCATCCTTAATATGAAGTTGCCTACCACAACGAAAGAAATACAAAGTCAAATGGGTAGAGCAATCGCTCTCAACCGATT